ACCAGCTGTCTTTTTCTTCTGTTCTTCCATTGTGGAAAGGGCAAGGTTGTTCTCTGGAGTATCTTTATATTAAAAAGGTCCTGAAACCCATTTATGCAGAGTTGGCTCTTGTGATATAATCACCTTCTAAAGACTCCATTGCCTTTTGTCTTTAGAGAACCCTTCACAATCTGGGTGGTTTAGAAAGTTGTTGCCAGTGATAAAGATAACTGTCTAATGCGTCCTTGGCTTAGGTGCTCATGGTTGTGAGGCAGCTGGGGATGGACAGAAGGCCTGTTGATCAACTGTGTCTTCACATTGGGAATTAGATGGCAACATAGAATTTGAGGAAAGAGTGAGTATGTAAATGCAGAGGCTGCACACATCCATAGCTTTATTCACTAAAGTCCTGTGTAAGCTCAAGAAGTGTAGAAATGGGGAAAGACAAGGAGGATATATATGTCTGACTCAGTACTCTTGCCTAGAAACTATTGCTTAAGGAATTTCTGCACATACAGTCTGTCTCCCTGTGGATGCTGTTTCTTTCAGAACTCCAGTTGTGGCTTTGCTTTGTTTCTAATTTTTCTCTTTAAAAAAATATACTCATGGGCGATTGTGAAGATTAAATGAGAAGAGATGTGTGAATTACTGCAGTATATTTGGGGAAGGTTCTCAGTTAACCAAAGTTTTGAGTTAAAGATAACCTTTTAGGGCTTTTGTACATTTGCAAATTTGGTTTGTTTGTGGGGTTTTTTGTTTTCCTCCTAAATTTGGCTTTTGTGTCCTAAAACATAGTTTCTGTCTTAAATGTTTGAACATGGGAAAATGGTTTGGTTTTGCCAATTTTCTGTTCTTGCTAACTTGGAGAAGTTGGCCCATCCTTTGAGTTGTAATTGCATTTCAAAGCTTTTGTCTGGGTTTAATTAGTTTACGGCTCCATCTTTTAAGTACTTGTTTACTTAGCAAGTGAAAGTAAAGACATTGGCCTAGGAGGCAACCCCCTCTAGTTTCCCCCAACAGAGCAGTATTTTTGACTTGCTGCCTTTGTTTTCTGCTCCATGCTTTCCTGGATGCCCATCTCACCTAAAGGAAAAATAGGGTACAAAAAATCCTGATCTTGTGGAGTAGCATAGTACATGCCTATAATCTTAGCACTTGGGAAGTGGAGGTAGGGAGATGAATTCAAGGCCAGCTTGAATGATTTGGGAGTGGGGTGCAGAATGGAGGAGGAAAGGGAAAGAGGATATCAAAGGACAAAGGCAAAAAACAAACAGCAACAAAAAAATACCTAGTAGACTTAGAGCCAGAGGACACCCCCAACCCTGGAGTAATCTTGGCTATGCTATTTGTAAACCATGGTATCCTGGCCAGGTTTTTCTCCATTCTTTGCCTCAGTATGGACATATGCACAAAGTTCATGCTAATAGAACATTACAGATATCTCTTAATGACACAAGTGCTTGTTATATTGCCTCTGCCCTCCCCAGTCCCACCATTCACCTGTCTTTAGCTTATTGTTAAGCATAAAAACCTTTGGAGCTGCCAGGACCTTGCTCTCGGGTTATACAATTTATAAAGCAAGGTTTGGCTGGCAGTGGGGAATAGTTTATCAAATTAAATAGTTTCTGCTGAAAAGGTTATTGATATTTTTACAGTCCCCACTCTGAGCTACATGGAAACCTTGAAAAATCCAGAAAGAGGCTAGGTGTATATGTTTATGATCCCAGCACTTAGACGCAGAAGAGTCAGGAGTTTAAGACCATTCTTGGCTATATAGCAAGTTCTTCAAGGCCAGCCTTTGCTACATGCTAAGGCATTGTCTTTAAAGGGGTGGAGGGGTAAAGAAAAAAAAAAAAACATAAAATATAGGTCCTTATTAAGTCGAGAGTAGTTTGTGAAGGTAAGTATTTGGACCAGACTAGAAAGCCAGGCCTGGAAGCTAGACAGTATCGTACATACCTTTATAGTACCATTTAAGTGTTTTACACGTCTCCAGATAATGTGTCCTCTTGGGCTTAGGGAATCTACAGAGCAGCATACAGCCTGCATGCCAAAAGCATCATACAAGACTTAAAAAATCAACTGGGAAGGTATAGATTGGGAGTTTGGAGTTTGGGTACCAAAGCATGTTCCACATAGCAGCCACATCTATATACTTTTGTGTCATTTCTAGAGGTGAGACCAGGGTGACGTGGTTGAGTCTTGGTATCCTAAGAATGTGCTCCAGTCTGATCACGACTCTCATCTAGGATGGTCCCACTAGTGTTGCTGTTACTAGAACAGACAAACACAAAGTTATAGTAGTATTTGGTCTTGTAAAGGTCTCCATGGTTTGCAAAGTTCTTTTATATTTATTGTGCCAAAGCTCATGTGAGGAAAAAAAAGATTGGCAGGGCCAAACCAGAAAGACCGTTCTGCCCCAAACCAGTGAATGCTTCCAACTCTCTTGTGTTAGAGGCTCCTAACAATCTGAGGGAATCCATAACTACTCTGTCCCTAGCAGATGAATTGCAGAGCCAGCAGCCGCTTATATTTCTCCTTCCCCTCTTTCCCAGCCCACACCCCAGGCCTGGTTAGCTCCCTCCTACAAAATAAAGTGGCATCTCTCTGGCCAAAACATAGTTTTCCGAAAGATTGATATCACACAGGTACCGTCTTTTTTGTATTTCTGGATGGACAAGGAATTAACTTTCGAATGACTCGTCATCCAGGTGGGAGGATTGTTGTTACTGAAGGTTGGGCGGTCTAAGTGTTCCCTGTTGCTTATGAAGAGTGTGTCGGGTATGTTCGTGGGCACTCTTCCTGGTGTTCCGCACTGCTGTATCAGTGTCGCTGGTTGGGGTGTAAAAGTGACTTAATAACAAGAGCCTGTCTCTTCCGAGTCATTTCTAAAGCTCACCCCAGCCTCTGATTAGTAACAGCAAGATAAGCTCTGAGTCCCTTGCTTTGGTAGTACATATCCATATTGGACTCCTGTCCATCCATTGGGTTTATTGCAAACTCAGATCTGGGAGCAGTTTCTTTCCCTAATCACATGCCATGGTCCAACCTGTGTTTCATTTGTAAACAGTGCCACCAGCTGGTTAAAACCAGCCAACTTCAAGGAAGGGAGTCTACAGAGTTGCATACAGAGGAGACATTGAAGTGGGATCTCTTTACCTACCAACACAAAAAGATAACAGATTTCTTCCGCTTCTATTTTTACCTAATTCTCTAAGAATAAGTCTTTACCCCCCACCCCCACCCCCACCAACAACAACAATATTAGGTATCATAAACCACCAGGCTGATTAAGATTTTTATATATTTTGCTTCTAGGCAAAATATATAAACTAAGAAGTAAGCAGAACCTAGGAGTAAGCAGAACATAGGGCTAGCAAGTGCAAATGCCAAGGCCAAACTACAAACCAATCCTGCTGGAATTAACATCCTCTTCTCTTGGGGCTTATGCCAGGGTGCAACCACTCTCTGAGGAGAGGACCTGTGGTGTAATAGATTCATTGCCGGAGTGTAGAGAATGAAAAATAGTTACAGGGTAGGTCAGTGAGCCTGAGTTTGGTCCTCAGAACTTTTTTTTAAGTCAGGGTCTCCCTAGCCATGTAGAACATGGGTTAAACTCACAGACCTCTGTGTGCTAGGATTAAAGTTGTGCTTCGTTGTGGCTAACAGGACATACATTTTAAAAAATCAGGTAGAGGGGCATACATTATAATCCCAATTCTGGAGGAGGCAGAGTTAGGCTTGCTGGCCACCCACGTTGGCCTATTTAGGGAAATTAAAGACAGTGAAAAAAGTCTCACAAAGACAAAAAAAAAAAAAAAAAAAAAAAAAAAAAAAAAAAAAAAAAAAAAAAACCAAACAAGTAGACTTCAGTTGAGGAATGATACCTAAGTTTGTCTACTGACCTGTGTATATTTATCTATACAGACATAAAAAAGTGGTTGCAAACTCATCTCTAAGCTGAACAGATTTTTAATCAGTTTTAAGTGGATAACTAAGAAATTACTTAAAGACTGTTCTCAGGCAAATGTGTAAAGTATTTAAATTGGCTTTACCTCTGGATGCAGAGTGATGAAGTTGATAGAAATGGGCTTTAAATGTATTTAAGTGCCTCTTACTAGAAAGTTAATAATACTCTTACCAGAAAAAAAAAATTATCAGAATCTCAGTTTCTGGTAAAGTAAGCTATGTTCACCCATGAGTTCTTGGGATCACTCAGTATTTAATGTTACCTTCAGCATACTGTGTGTGCCTGGTAAGGCCTATGTAAGCAAACCTTGCAGAGTGGCTGTTACAGTAAAAGACTTTACTGGCAATGTTAGTAAAGATGAGATACATCTAGATCAGCCTGAGCAATTTTTATAATAGGGGACTGTTCTCTAGGAAACATCTCTTGAAATTACCATATGTCCTTTTTGCTTTTGTTCCATGTTGAAAGAACAAAGAGAAAAGCTGTAGAAAGTTAATAAGTTTAGTTTTTAAGTGGGGTAACATTTGAAGTAAATATTTTAAAAGTTATGTAGTTGTTGCTGGAGAGATGGCTCAGTGGTTAAGAGCACTGTCTGCTCTTCCAAAGGACCCAGGTTTAATTCCCAGCACCCACATGACAGCTCACAACTGTCCGTAATACCAATTCTAAGGAATCTGGCAGCTTTACATTAATGCACATAAAATAAAATTTAAATAAAATTTTTTTTAAAAGTTATGTAGTTAAAAAGAATTGGAGTCAAGCAGACTGGTGAACCCAGCCTTACTGTTGCCCAGCATTGTGACCTTCCAATTTTGTTTTTTCCTGTGTACTGTATCAAATAAGGAAACATTGTAAAGCACCTAGCATAATATTAGGAGCACCCTTAATAATGTAACAAGAAAACAGAATGTGTATGATAAGGGAGGATAGCTCCCATAAGGATGAGAATGTATAGAAAGGCAAGGAGCAATCCAGGTTAGTCAGGATGGGCTACGAACATTCCCTGAAGCTAGCCTGGGAACCCAGTTTCACTGTGGCATTCTCTTTTCAGGTGGACACCATGTCCTTGAAGATTCAGACCAGCAATGTAACCAACAAGAATGACCCCAAGTCCATCAACTCTCGGGTCTTCATTGGAAACCTAAATACAGCTGTGGTAAAAAAGTCAGATGTGGAGACCATCTTTTCCAAGTATGGCCGTGTGGCTGGCTGTTCTGTGCACAAAGGCTATGCCTTTGTCCAGTACGCCAATGAGCGCCATGCCCGTGCAGCTGTGCTAGGAGAGAATGGGCGCGTGCTGGCAGGACAGACCCTGGGTAAGTTAAACAAATTTCTGTTGACATCCCACTTAAAACTGAGTGCTGCTAGGTCTCAAATTGTCCCATTGTGGGTCTCTAGTTAATTTCTGTCTGTTGCAAGAAGATGTTTCGCAATGTGGGTTGAGCAATGCACTCACTGATCTTCCGTCATAGTCTCTTATTAACACGGGTTTTGGTTCTAGTTAAAACCCAGATTCTCCATAGAAAAGGAACAAAATGGACTAGTATATCCTGTTATCTCAGTCTATAGAAGTTGTGGGTTAGAATCCTTTCTGGAAGCTATGAGGCGCTGTGAACACAAGTAAAGGAAAGAAGCATGCTCTTGGCATTATTGATAGCTGTGTTGGTATCTACAGAGTGTTGTGTTTGTGTGCATACTCACATACTTACGTTTTAGAAGGAATATATGATATGTGTTAGTGACTGAGATGTGATTGTATAGAGAATATGGGAGCACATACTCTCACATGTTAAATGTGTATGAGAATATTCGTGAGTATAGAAGCAGATGTTCTTTATTTATTTATTTTTTACTGAATATTTTTTCATCTTACAAGCTAAGCACTATGCTAGGCATAAAGGTGTTTATAAACACCAATGACTATGTATAGGCTTCTTTGCCTATAGGCAGTCTGACTGCATTTGAGTGTAGATGTTATCTGTACATGACTTTCTTCCCTGGATATGTGTATGAGTGTGTGTATGTGTTTATACCTGATTTTTAAGACCCTAATTGAAAAATGTGTATTTATATGTCATGTATGGTATGTGAAGACTTATGTATGTGTCTGAATGTATAATGAATATGCAACTAGACATATCTATTCGGTGTTGGTTTGAAAATTAAATATATGAAGCCCCTTGACTAACTCAATTCCATGTGTGTACTATGTAAATATGTGGAGGCATGATGGCAATGTCTGAGTCTACTCTGTCACGTCAGCATTCGAACTCTGCTTCTTCCCTCCACACAGACATCAACATGGCTGGAGAGCCCAAGCCTAATAGACCCAAGGGGCTAAAGAGAGCAGCAACTGCCATATACAGGTGGGGCTCTATGGCTTTTTTTTTTTTTTTTAATACATGGGATGGGTCCCTCTTTTCACAGAGGGAGTAATGCTTATAGTGACAGTGTTCTGAGCTTAGAATTTAGGAAGACATTTGTAGATGAGGACCTGTGGAGAAGTGGGCTGAGTGGCCATCTCCCTTTGTTTTCCCAGTGGCTACAGCTTTGACTATGATTACTACCAAGACTACTTCTGTGCCAGGTGAGCAGGGAAGGGGCGTGTCCAAGTGCTAAACAGCCAAATTGGAAGGGTCATGAGAGATTGCTGGTATAGCTTATAAAGTCCTCCAATTGGGAACTGAAGCACAGAAGTGTGAATGGGTCTTTGTTTCAAGGTTGCTTCACCAATCAGTGACAGAGTTAGGACTAGGGTCTCGTTCTCCAAGGGCTCAGGCCAGAGCTCTGACCATCACACCAAACTTTCACACTCTGGTTGCCTTGCCTCTTCCTAGTCCTGTAGTGTACAGCTAAGGGATGAACACAGGGCAGCTGGGATACAAAACCAGGCACTGTGCCTGCATAGGCAGTTCTTGAGCCCTTAACACTGTTCAGTTTATGTTTCTATAAGGTGTTCACCTAGCCAAAAAGGAAGTCTACAGATAGTTGAGTTGGACCCTTATGACCAAGAAAGAGGTCATCCGTTATTTGGAGGCCTGAATTAATTCTTATGGTTTGTCATCGGTCTTTTAGCCCAAATTCTATCTAGACTTCAACCTTGAAGCTAAGGGCTCCTATCTCAGTGACCCTAGCCACGTTTGTTTGTTAACAGTTTTCAGATTCATTATCTTCCTACCTACATCTGCCTGTTGAGTGCAGGGATTACAAAACTAACCATAATGCCAGCTCTTGGCCACGTGTTTGATGAGAAGTTGTTGTAAAGACCGAGTCAGAAACTCTCCTTTCTTCTTCTTGCTGAAACAGTCCGGGGAAAACAGCTTTTCTGAACCATTTTCTCTGCTGTGAGTGTTTTCAGGAAATAATGTGGTACCGTGCCAGAACCTAAAAGTCAGGAGACTTGGATGCTGATGAGTTCTGCCACTGAATGGATTATCTGGCTTTTGGCAAATTCTATTAGTCAGTGAGATGGGCTACACCAAATGATTTCTCAGGGCTCCTGTATCTCTGGGATTCTGTGGTTCAGTGATTTCTGACCAACACCAGAGCCTTGTAGGTCAGGTCAAATGAAGGATCTGGGATTGGATTTATTCTCTGAGCCTGATATCAGCTTCAGGACTCTTTGAACAGAGCACCCCACCCCCCCCCCCCCCCCACAAAAAAAAAAAAAAAAGGACCTTGAATTTTCTAGTGATGGCAGGTACCATGACTCATCCAGAAAGTAGTTTCAGAGTATGTATCCCTGACCAAGGCTGTAGTTCCCTTCAGAACCATGATGATAGCATATTTGGTGGGAGATTTCCCTACCTTCTGAGTTTCTGTCTTGAATTCAGGAAAAGAGTCCCTTCTGGAGAAGGCCAGGTTATGATGTTAGAGTGCTAGCACGCAGTCGAGGAGCTTTTGAGTCTCATTCAACTGCCTACCCTTGAGATGCTGTTGAGTTCTTGGCCTGGATCTCTGAATTAAAAAGGGTGTTGGTGTGGTCCATAAGAACACAGGGGCTTAGAGTCTGGAGCCATGCTCCTTGGTTGAGTATGTCAGTTCCTGGATTTCACTTCTCTGGTATTTTAACCAGGTTCTCATGTTTTACCACAGAATTTAAATAGCTATCCTCACTAAGAAAATGGAAAACCAAGGTTCAAGTGTTGGCCACCAATTTTCAAACTTCTGTTTCCAACTCATTAATGCTGCTTTGAGATTACAAGCTGATTATCAAAGGTTGGGGTGCCAGTAATCTGAGTAGAAGGCTGGTGTCAGTGACCTCAGGAACGGCTCCTTTCTGAAACAGGGCTGTTTGTTCCTACACTGCTTCTCCTGGCCTCGCTCTGGGTAAGGTGGAAATAGTAAGGATTTTATCAGCCCTTAGGATCCAGAAAGCTTTCACATCCTCCCTGGCCCCTTACAGGCTACACAGGTAAAGCCTGTAAGGCTTTGTTGTAGTGCCTCCTGGTGGTCACAGGCCATGCTGCAGCCTCTGGTCTATTTACCTTCACAGGCTCTTTGATTATCGTGGCCGCCTTTCTCCAGTGCCTGTGCCCAGGGCTGTTCCAGTGAAGCGACCTCGTGTCACAGTCCCTTTGGTTCGCCGTGTCAAAACTACAATACCTGTCAAGCTCTTTGCCCGCTCCACAGCCATCACTACTGGCTCAGCCAAAATCAAGTGTGAGTAACCTCTTTCAATTTTTTTGTTTTTTGTCTTATTTTGAAACAGCTTGGAACTCCAAACTGACCTGAAACTCATAGAGAGTCTTTTGCTTCTCTCTCCTGAGTTCTGGGATTAAAGATGTGCACCGCTATATCTTGATGACTTTTTTTATTTTATTTTATTTTATTTTATTTTATTTTATTTTATTTTATTTTATTTTACTTTTTTATTTTACTTTTTTATTTTATTTTATTATTTCATTTCATTATTTCATTTCATCATTTCATTTCATTTCATTTCATTTCATTTCTGAGACAGGGTTTCTCTGTGTAGCCTTGGCTGTCCAGGACTCACTTTGTAGACCATGTCGGCCTCAAACTCACAGAGATCTTCCTGCCTCTGCTTCCCAGAGTGCTGGGATTATAGGCGTGTGCCACCGTGCCCAGCTTCCTAGTGACATCTTTTTTTTTTTTTAATAATTATTTTATTTTATGTGCATTATTGTGAAGGTGTCACATCCCTTGGAATTAGCATTACAGACAGTTGTGAGCTGCCATGTGGGTACTGGGAATTGAACCCAGGTCCTTTGGAGGAGCAGACAGTGGTCCTTAACACTGAGCCATCTCTCCAGCCCCTGGTGACATCTTTAATCTTTCTAGATCAGTGGTTTTCAACCTCTGGGTTGTTGATCCCCTTGGGAGTTGCATATCAGATACACTGTATGTCTGATATTTACATTATGGTTTGTAACAGTAGCAAAATTATAGTTATGAAGTAATTTTATGGTTCGGGTCATTACAACATGAGGAACTGTATTAAAGAATTGCAGCATTGGGAAGGAAGAACCACTGTTCTAGATGGGTTTTTTTTTTTTCCTTTTTAATCATCACTAAAATAATAGAATTTCATTTTGTAACATTTTTTAACTTTTATCTTATGTGGATGCATGTCTCCGTACCATTTATATGCAGTGCTGGTTGGAGGTCAGAAGCAGTCCCCTGGGACTGGAGTTACCCACAGCTGGCAATCAAATCAGTGCTCTTAGCCAGTGAACCATCTCTCCAGCCCCTTCATTATACTTTCATAATTTTTTTCAAGACAGGGTTTCTCTGTGTAGCCCTGGCTGTCCTGAAGTCGTTCTGTAAACCAGGCTAGCCTTGAACTCAACAGAGATCCGATCCGCCTGCCTCTGCCTCCACTGTCCAGTGACTCGTACTTAACACTGAAAAGTAAAGGAACAAATCTACAATTGATGTTACTCTTACACAATCAAGTGCTTCAGGGGGAAAAAAGTCCAGTACTGTGGTGAGACACCCACTGAGGAAGCAGCAGTAGTTTTTCTCTAATAAGAGATAAGGACAGGTTTATTCTGGTCTCTGTATACTTTAGTCGAGCACCAAGGAAATCTGATTGCAAAAGACCCTTTTGTACCTTTAGAATAAACTCTGCCCTGTAACACAGCAAAGACACATGCCATTACTTAGGCGTTCACAGGAACATATACCTTTTTTTTTTTTTTCTTTTCTTTTGATCTTTTGAGACAGGATCTCGTGACAAACCAGGTTAACCTTGAATTAACAATCCCCCTGTCTTAGCCCCCCAAATGCCATGATTACAGATGAGTAGCATACAATACCCAAACCTACATTTTTATTCACCTGCAGTCCCTAGAGATCAAGAGGTCTCATGGCCAGATTCATATGTATGGGCTTCACACCCTAAGGATGGCCTCTCAGTTCTCTGAGAAGAGACCTTTTCACTGGGCAGGAAACAAACCAGAAAAGAATCACCTCCCTAGTTGACAGAATGAGGCTGGGTTTTGTTTGCATCATGCATCTAAGTGATAACCCTGTCTCCTCTCCACTCCCAGTAAAGAGCAGTGAGCTACAGACCATCAAAACAGAGCTGACACAGATCAAGTCCAACATCGATGCCCTGTTGGGTCGCTTGGAACAGATCGCAGAGGAACAAAAGGCCAACCCAGGTCAGCTTTGAGGGCAGCCCTGGGGAAGGGGTAGGACCCCCAGAACCAGCACATTGGGACCTACTGACAGTGGCCAGTGTGTGCTTGAGTAGCTGCTTTAGCTGAATTCTGGTCCCTTTTCCACTTTATCCTTTCAGATGGCAAGAAGAAGGGTGACAGCAGCAGTGCTGGAGGAGGGGGCGGCAGTGGCGGCAGTGGCAGTGTTGGTGGCGGCAGCAGTGGCGGTGGCAGTGGGAGTTGCAGCAGTAGCCGGCCACCGGCCCCCCAAGAAGACACAGCTTCTGAGGCAGGCACACCCCAAGGAGAAGTACAAACTCGAGATGATGGTGATGAGGAGGGACTGCTAACACATAGTGAGGAGGAGCTGGTAAGGCCCAGCTGTGTGACCTGGAAGGGCTGGGCTGTCAGAGGGTCACGGTGAAAGAGCCAGAGTTGGCTGTTCCCCCAAGTTCTATCCTTTCTGCTTTTTAGAACTTCAGCTCTATGAGGAATAGGAAGAATGAGCCATGTTTGAGTTATTGTTCAGAAGTCCCATTCAAGACTGGGGCAGACCTCAGCAAAACCCAGGGTCTACTCTGTCTTCTACTGTAGGTGTATTGAAGAGGAGAATTGGGCCTAAGAAGCACACAGCACACAGCCTATAAAGGGAGGGTTGGGAGTTGACGGGGAAGTCATGGGAAGATAGGAATTTTAATTACACATAAGAATTTTTTTAAAAGCCGTTGAAGCTTCTGGCAGACTGTCCCTTAAAGAAGCTAATTCCTGTATATACTGACTATTCAGGGTGAGATCATGGAGCCATGACGGGGCTCCATGCATAAAAGTGTGTCCCTCTTACACCAGCAAATCACATGACTGCTCCTTCCCCTTTTCCTGTGGGAGCTTCAAATGACCCTCTCAGCATCCTAAGCCAGTTTCATTTGCTGATTTTCTTTAGTTGGACCTCTTTTCTAACTGTCCTCCAGTAGTGCTCTGAACCACAGGGCCTTCCTGAACAATGGCTCAGGATAGAACCTGGGACCTGGAGTGGGTGATATGTGCTTGTCTTTTTCCTCTCAGGAGCACAGCCAGGACACAGATGCAGAAGATGGAGCCTTGCAATAAACAGGTATGGACTGGGAGGGTGGATAGGGAAGCACAGGAAAGCAATGAAGTGGAGGCTATAACTTCTTCCCTGACATGGGTCTAGAGGGCCACACTGTGCCAAGGCTGAAGGTCTTCACATGTAATGCAGCCTTACTCCTGTGCCCATGCAAACCAGGGACACCTAAAAAGGGCTCCCTTGGGAGCAGGATGATCATAGAGAAAAAGGGTGGTCTGGGAGTCGTGGAAGAAATGCTGTGCAGCTTAGTCTGTGTATTACAAGGAAGAAGGTTCGTTCCATAGGGAGAGAGGACAGGCACTCTTCATTGTTGCACAGCATTGTGACAGTCTACAGGATGCAATAAAGACAAGCACTGCCTTTTCTGTGGCCTAGCCCTGCAGAGAAGGGGAAAGGTGCCGTTCATCTTCAGAGGGGGTGACTGGAAAATTTCTCATGGGCTGTAGTTTGGGGTTCAACTTGAGCCTATTATGAGGAGGAGATGCCCTGCATGCCTGTATGAAGGAGCTGTTATTTTATCGGATTTCCTCTTCTACCCTGCAAGATTAGGATTGTGTGTATGTAACAGAAGTGGAAGTGCAGATGTGGAAAAGTAGAATGAAATAGCATGTCCCATGGAATTCCAAGGTAGTAATTGGAGCTTAAATTTGAACTGATTAACATGCAGCCCCACAGCCTCCACTCAGGCTCTGTATAGTACCTAGAGAAGGTTTACAGTTGACAGAGATACCTCAGTAGATCACACATTTGTAATACAGGATCTCCACAAGTAAGAGCTTCCAGATCAGAAAATTCCACATGTAAGTCTTTCCTCTTAGAACTTAATGAATTTACTTGTATCCAGAGAGCTGTTTATTGTACAGTGTGAAACTAGTGTACAGTAGGTATTGAGGCTCAGGGCAGGGCTTGAAGGCCTTTCCCATGGTCAGAAAATTGGGCGGACAGTATACCCCCTTTTTTACCCTTATGATAAAAATTTCTTCCTCTCAGCCTAATTTTCTTCTTTGCCTTTTTCTTTTTCAGCTTGACAGGAACGATGGCCACCAGCAGAAAGGCATCACTGTCTCAGGCCTCAAGCCAGGCACCCATCTCTGGATGCCAGTCTGTAGTGGGTACCAGAAGAAAGCTGGCAGCTGGCACTTCTCTCCCCATGCATCCCAGCCAGTGAGTGCTACATCCTTTGCAAGTGGAGTTACTGGCCTACCCTTACCCCATGCACTCTTCCTGTCTGCACTGCCTGGGCCAAGGGGCAGAATACACTCTGCCCTTCTTCCCCAGGACATTCCCAGGCTTGGGTTTTTCTATAGGTTTGAAAGTAAGGGGGGTTGGGGCGGGCGGGGGGGGGAACCCGACAATAAAGAGATTGGATCCAAATATGCTCTGAGATGGGATGGTTTGCTTGTTTACTTGGTTGGTTGGTTTTGTCTACATTTATTGCTATTATGTGTGTGTGGTGTGGAGTGGTAGACATGTATGTTGCACCATTTGTAGAGCTCAAAGGACAACTCTGGAGATTTCTTTTTCCACCTTTATGTGGGCTTTGGGGATTGTCAGGCTTGCACAGGAAACACTTGACCTACTAAGCCTTTTCACTGCTTCTATTTCTGTGATAAAACACTATGACCAAAAGCAACTTGGGGGGAAGGATTAATTTTATCTTCTACTTCCTGGTAACAGTCTATCACTTGGGAAAGTCAGAGCAGGAACTTGGAGGCAGGAACTGATGCACAGGCCATGGAGGAGTGCTTCTTACAGTTTTGTTCCTCTTGGCTTGCTCAGCCTGCTTTTAGTGCCCACATTGGGCTAGATTCTCCACATTAATCAAGAGAATGCACCACAGGCCAGTCTGGGTGGGAGGGAGGCATTTTCTCACAATTGGGGTTTCCTGATTGCCAAATGACAAAAGTAGCCAGCACCGGCCTGTAATTTTTTTTTTTCCTCAGTGATATTTTGTCCCTTCTGTCCACCAGAGAGCTAGTATGCCGAACCCTTCTGTTCTCCCCTAACTTATCCACAGAAGTGTTCAGTGTCCAATACTGAGCCATTTGTAGCAGTATTCCTTGCTAACATGATTAAAGTGATGGCAAATGCCCATCATCCCAGCACTAATGGAAGTGGAAGCAGAAGGATCAGTTCATGACCTCGTCTCAAACAGCAAAATAACCCACAAACGTAGCAATCATTTTTTGAGCTTCTATGCAAACTCTAGACTCTAAATAACTTGAAGTAAGAAATAGCTGTATTTCTTCCAAACTAGTATGTTACAGTTTTAAATTTTAAGCTGGTCAAGGTAGCATCAAAATTGCAGTCCCAGCACTGGTGAGGTGGAGGCAGGATGATCCAGAGTTCAAGTTCATCTTGGTGTTTTAGCAAGTTTGAGGCCAGCCTATACTATAAGAGACTGTTTCAATAAACAAAGACAAACAGTAAACAAGATGATGACTGCAAAACGACTAATAAGGCTGGGTAAGATAGCTGTGCTAGTGCCTAGCTAGGGCCAAGCAGTTGTGACCCATTTGCCACCCAGCAATAGGTCACAGTCTCATGTCTTTGTTAAGCTTTTTAGTCTGGTTTTGGCTCAAATGATTCAAGAATTCACCACTTTTCTCTGTTGCCTTAGGATGCTGATTGTTCTTAGTTTTCATTCTCTGTTTAGCCTTTTGTAGCTTTATGCCACCTCCTAACAGGGTAGGTTTGTTTTGTTGCTGTTTTTGCTAGCCTTACACACACACACACACACACACACACACACACACACACACACACACAGCAGAATTACTTTTCCCCTTTTGGTAAACCCTAGGACATTTGTTCTAAATCATTGCCATTTTGGGCTTGCTGGCATTTTAACACATCTTCAGTTTACAGTGCCCTTATGGTCATGTTTCAGAGTCTGTCACATGAGCTAAAGAAAGACAAAGTTCTACAGATGGCTGGCTGCCAGGAGAACAATACCAAGCATATGGAATAGTTTCTTACCCAGGGTCCCCATGGACCAAACCATCTGAATTAGGCATATCAAAAAGCCACATGAGTGTTTTAACCAGGTAGTCCATTAATTTACATAGTGGAGTCCTTGCAGTATACCCATTGTAGTAAAGTATTGATACACGCAAAGATTTTTTTTTTTTCCTTATTCAGTCAGATAATTCTGTCATCCAGATTCCCAGGAATATGGGTTGGGTTGAGAGTGTAGCTCAATAAGAGAGCATCTACCTATAAGGCATAAATTCTCTAGGTTTGATCATCTATATCCAACTAGGAAGGCAAAGTTAAATTAGTATTAATGCTACAACAGATAACAATAGTGCCATTTGAACAAATGACATTTACCAGTGTTGCTAAAGTTTCATATAGGTCAACAAAAGGATCTCTTAGGACTTTATTAAGATATGGATCCGATGACAGACATGACATTAAGCACTCCAGACCAAGGCAAACTTAATTTACTGGAGATACTTAAGATTCTAGGTGCCCCAGACATTGACAGCTTTTACCTCACTGTTATATTATAGCCAGGCATGCTATGAATATCCATCATTGAAATCCCATAGTCATTATTTCTAATTTTATACTATTAAAGAAGAAATCTCTTTTTATTGAACTTCTATACAATTTTGTTATAGTTCCATAAAAATAAGAACACATATATTTCCAAATTCTTGAGGGTTCAGATAGGACAGATTGAAATTTTGTTTACAAGAAAATTTTACAGTTTCTATAACATTGATAACTTTAAAATTTCTTTAAATCTGAAAGACGAAATGTAAATGATATTTTAGTTTAAAAGCTAAAAATGCAGTAAGCTTCCCCCCTCCACCCTGAGACAGGGTTTGTCTGTGTGGTTCTGGACTCAACTTTGTAGACCAAGCTGGCCTCGAACTCAAGAGATTCTCCTACCTCTGCCTCCTAAGTGCTGGGATTACAGGCCCTTACCACCATGCCTTACCACAGTAAGCTTTTACAATTTTTTAATTTTATGTGTATGGGTGTTTTGCCTGCGATACTTGTGTGCCTGGTGCCTGTGGAGGGTGTTGGATCCCCTGGAATTGAAGTTATAGATGGTTTAAAGTCCCTACTGTTTTGGTGCTGGGAACTAAACCCAGGTCCCCTGGAATGGCAGCCAGTGCTCTTAACTGCTGAGCTTTCCAGCCCAACCTGAAACAATTCATAACTAGAATGTAAAATTTGAGTGTCCAAATAGTCTTGTAATTTAGCTTGTTTGAAACAAGGTCTGCGTACCTCGGTTGTCACCGAACATGCTGTGTAAACCAGAACAGCCTCCAACTCTGCCTGCTGAGTGCTAGGATAATAGGCATGTGCCACAATACCTGACATAGCTTGTCTCTTTAATACTGACTTCAGGACTTAAAACTTTATTGATCTTGTCTTTGCAATGAAGCATTATTGGAAAGGTACTTGCTTAATAAGCTATTTGTGTGGTCTTTATTTTTCTTCTTAAAAAAACAAAACAAAACAAAAAACTTTAAAAGAGGTGATTTGTCTATGGGGTTCAGGATGTTAGGACATGCAGCCAGTCTGCTTATCTTGAACACGTGCAGTTTTCTGACAACTGGGCTGGTAGCTTCAAGCTTCAGAGATTTATACACAATGGTCTTTGTTACTAATTTTACCCCTTATTTTCCATCTGAACAAATCAAGCTTTACATCCAATTCTCAAGAGACCGCAGGTCTTTTTCAGTCATAAATACCTCAACCCAGTCAAATACATTGTAACAGATGTAGTCTCATCACTCTGCTCTGACCTGGCAGTGTCTTGTTGCCATTTTTGGAAATGGTCTCTTGATTCAGCTGCTGTTTCTATACTAGTTGCCTGCTCTTCAGGAATTAAATGTTCCCTTCTCAGAAAGGAACATGCCTGTCAGCTCAGGACTCATGCCTGTCCTAAGAGGTGGTTCTTATTCAAGTTTGCAAGCCTGCCTGGCTGGATCCTTTATTGAACATTTCCAGTTCTAGCTACCAGCCATATAGCAGCATCTGCCTGGATTTTGGTGGAGAAGTGAGTGTGCTCAGGTCTCCCTAGGCATATGGAAACCTCTAGAAAGTGGGTCATGTCCAGCAACTGCTTGTTTGAATGTTTGTTTTTTAATATCTTTGTTATTGAAGTCCTGTGTCAGCCTCCTGAGGACTAAGATTACAGGAATATGCCTCCACACCTGCCTCACTTTTAACCATACTCTGCTTTTGCAGTATTGGGGCTCTTAAAAGGGTATGTGCGAAGGGAAGGGAGGACAGGAGTTTCATAGGTATTCTGCTAAATTCTTTACAGGTTTTGTTTATCCCTTACAATCTCCCAGAAGTGGAACTGCATCCAGTTAATGTACTGGAAATTGACACAATTTGTCTAAGTTCACATCCCTTGGGAGTCACAGCACAAATCTCTGCTTGCAGCCTACATGACTGAAATACTGCTCCTGGTCCTTTTAGTTTCTTGGACCTTCCGCCTCTGTACATTTTCAATGTGTGCTTTGTTAATTTCCTTCTCACTACCCTTTTATGGAGTCTAACCTATGGCACCAGACTCTACTGAGAGTTGCACTGGGGTTTCTTTAATGACTCTACCCAGCCCGTTGGTCTTTTTCTTCTCCACTCATCTGGAGGATCAATAACATGCCCTACCCTGTCATGAAGTCAGCATCCTCCATTCCTTACCTTTCCATGGTAATCTTGAGCTCTGGCCCATTAAGCCCACTGCTTGTAAGTTCAGGCATGTTCCACTTGACATTCCAACAAAAGGTTATCTATAAAGAACCTTGATTGAGTTGCATAAAACACAAAATGTCATGTCAAGTAAACTTACACTTTTACAATAGCTATCTTTGGCCTGCCTTGCTAGTCACAGGTCGTTCTTCATTTTACTTAAGTATTTCATGTTTTTGTGTTTTGTTATACCTGCATGTATTTTATACACCACATACATGCAGTCCCTGAGGACAAAAGAGGGCACGGGGAACTGGAGTTGCAGATAGTTGTGGGCTGCCATGTGATGAGCGCTGGTAATCAAACCTGTGTCCTCTGAAAGATCAGTCAGTGCTCTCAACCAGAGCTATCTCTATCCTAGTCTGATACTTACTTAACTTTACACCAGGGCTCTGCTGTTCTCCCTCCCTTCCTTTTTTGAGATAGGCTCTTATCAGTCTATACCCAGGCTGGCTATGAGCTCCTAAAGTGCTGGGATTACAAGTGTGTGCTACCACACCCAGCTTTGCTCTTTATTAAGTCCCCTAATGTTCACCATTATGAAGTTGAAAAGTGTAGTTGATGTCACTAGCAGGTACCAACCAAACTCTTCCATGACATCCCCTGAGAAGTCCCACCAAGAAAAGAAATGGACAGAACATATACAC